AGCCCTGTAGTGTGACTTTTCCACCTTCCAGTTAGAGAAAAGAAGGAGCTTGCAGGGCAGATACACAGCCAGCTTGGAAACTCTCCTCTAGAACAAAGCTTGCTGAAGGAGCCTGAGGTCCAGAAATAGCAACAATCCTCTTCCTGTAGGGCAGCTGGGATTTCAAGTGGCTGGAGATAAATACAGTACTAGGTCAGCAAGGACCCACAAGAAAAGGGGGATTATTGCTCTCCATTAGTGAAAGCAGTGTCTGCTTGAACGCATCTGTGAAGATGTCAGCTTTAGAAAGCACATTTCTTTTATTTCAGTGGTTTACACGTTCATTTTCACCATGCTTTTTATCATCTTTCACTGAGTATTTCCTATTTAAAAAAAACAAACAAGCAAACACACCCAACATAGATGAACAAGCAGCTTGTCTGGCTGGTGAAAAAAAAAAAAAAACAAACCAAACCACCACCACCCGTAAGACAAACAAAGAGGCACAGCGAAACACGCCATGTAGCTACGCGCAGCCCAACACGCCGTACAGCTGTCCAAGCCTCGCGTTGCCTCTCCTCCCTCCTCCTCAGCTCTGCTGAAAGACAGCAGCTGTAATCCTCTCCAGGTGGTGACAGGCGTTATCTTTCCAGCCGGTACAGAAGTGACAGCTCTGGAGCTGGCTGGGAACACGTGTCCCCGCGCTGTAAGAGAGGGAGAGGGAAGCTGCAAGACCCAACAAGCGCGTGAGTCAGACCAGCCGAGGGGAAAGGTAAACTTTGGAAGCAGCGCGAGTGCGAGAGGTGTGATTGCGAGGGATCCTTCTCAGCTGCGTGCTTCCTCCACGGATGCTCTGGGCGATCCTGGGAGAGACCGATGGGGGAAAGAAACCCCTGCTTCAGCAACATCTGTATCCTGGACTGACACCACGACTGGTCCCCAGCCCCTCTGAATGGGGCTTTTTGGGAGCGGGTTGTACGGGTGTGGAGCCCACGCTGCCCCGAGGAGGACAGACATTCGTGAGTCACTGCCCAGGCACCGAGGGTGACAAACACACACGTGAGTGGGACAGGTCTCACCGGGAAGAACTCCGGTGATTTTGGTTTTCGTGGTTTGATGATTGCATTTTTGTGTTTTATTTGGTTTCTTTCTCCTTGCTTGTGCTGCAAGTGGGGAACTTACTGACTCAACACAGATGGGGTGTGATGTTGACTATGCACAAGTGGCTTTGAACTGAACAAAGCCAACAGCTGGAGGAGAAATCCTGGGAAATGTTTGCCCTTTCACTAACCTGTTATGTTCCAGCAGTGGCTTTTAGCAATAGCAGAGAAGGGTGATCCTGGAGTCAACAAACATCTTTAAGACTTCCATGGGATGACTGGCTTGAGCTGCTGCCTGGCACAGTCTGCAAGTCACCACCATAAGCATTGTAAGGTGTTGCTGTGTAGCTACGCTAGGATCAGCTCTTCCCACACGAGACATCTCCATCTGAGCAACTTGTCTAGACTCCCTGTGCACTCAGCAGAGAGAAACAGGCCTGCTGAGAGGGTAATTCATCTCCTCCCAACATAGTTGTCTACAGCAGATGAATCACTCTCTTCTTTGCCTCTCTCTCCCTGCTGGTTACAATGGGAGTCTGGATGGCAGGCTCAGAGGGAGACACCTTCACCAGAAATGTTTAAGGTTAAGTCAATGCATACCACTTCCAGTGTATGTCTTATGCCAAGATCAGAGCTATGACTACATGGTTCAGTGCCTTTCTGAACCCTGCAAGAATTGGTATGTCAGAAAGCAGACATTTCACTTTGCTCCCTATGAAACTAAAATGCTTCTCCACGTGACTCGGTACCTGCCAGTCGCTGCTGGAGAGACGCAAGCTGCGGGCCACTGAGCAGCCATTCTAGGCCAGGCACTCTCCTGCAGACTGGCAAGCACTGAATAATAGGCTGCTTTTGGTGGCAAACACCTTTCCCTGGCAGCTGGAATAGCTCCCTAGCAGGCATCAGTGAACAGAGGTGCTGCAGCCTTCACCCAGTGTCCCTAGGCCGGTGGTACCTGGACAACTTCCAAGTTGCAGGGGTAGTTCACAGCTTGAATTCAAAGATTTGCTCACAGCACCTGGGTTAGGATACTACGGTCCATGGGCTTCACCCCTCCAGATGAAAGTCTTGTGTCACACTGAATAATTGCTGGGTACCTTGTCACTTCACATTGCCTGGAGAAGCCACGACAAAACACCTGATGCACATGCCTGGAGTTAACATTATGAATCCAGTCCAGCTGTAACTTTATCCTTGGTGCCTTTACCTTAATTATAAATCAATGGCTGTAATTGTGTTTTTGACTTTTCTCACTCTGGACAGCTTATAGAGTGTTTTTGAATTGGCTTGTGGAAACCTTGGAAAGGTTTCATACAGAGTCAGCATACTGATGTCATGGGACATCATTACCAAAGGGCAGAACCGCCCTGCAGCAATGCTCTTTCTTTCTGACCCAGACAGTAAATGCTGTGGGGTGCTGTCTTTAACCATGAGCATAGGTCTAGGCAAGGAGGATTCAGTAGGATTATCAAGTCTAATGTGAATGGTGGGTGCTTGAAGGCATTTGCAATCAAATCCAGCTCATACAAGCATGGTTCATTTATGTGCAAAGCCCAGTACAGAGCTCACGCACAGCAGTTTCTACTTGAACCTTCAAATAGCACCCTAAGGGGAGCTCTAATAGTACAGAAGCTGAAGGATTGGCCCTTGGTGCAGGTATGGTGTTCATCATGTACTCTAGATGTGGGAATTGAACTGTTAGTGCAACACTGAAATGCTAGAAAATGCGTAATTATTGCTGTTTCAACCTTGTACTTCAGATTCTTGAGGCTAACACAATTTTAAGGGTGGATTCTGTGATTCTATGATTCAGTTTTTTTACATCCATGACTAATGCAGTTTAAGATGCCCTGGTGCAGCCCTGACATTTACAAGGAGCTTGCGATATGACTCTGGACCTAGGGGAGATGTGCACCCCTTCAGATCAACACTGGGGCGTGATACTGGATTCCCTAGGCCCTCTCAGCTGGAGCTAAACTTCTATGTTTAAACAACTACATAGACCCTAAGCTGTTTGAAATCTAGTAATCTTAGTTCTGGAAATGTCTACAGAGAAAACATGGAAGTGAGACTACCAGATGAGACAAGATTTCAAACTTTGAGACAGGTTCAGGGTTCAGCTGAGTTGCATCTAGAGAGATGTAGTCCCACCTGAGATGTCTTAGGAAACCCAAGACATTCATGTGAAGCTAAGAGATGGGGTTGCACTTCTTTTTAGGAAGGCCCAGATCTTTCTCAGCTTCTGTGTCTTGAGGGTGGTGTGGTTGTCTTGGACTGCCTGGAGGATCTCAGATGGCACTGTAAGCCCTGGTGAGGACAGCTCAGCTGAGATTTAGCTCTCCACTGACTGCTCCACATAGACCCCCATTTCTCAGACACCTAAAATGAAGTATGCACATCTGGAGCAGAATCCATTTCTTAATTCAAGTGAAATTAATGTTATCTCTGGAAATCGATTGATTTGCTACAAGTTTAATAAATTAATTCTTAAAATTATAGCAATATTAATTATTTGATTTTCAATATTGATTATTTCAACACGTCTGCATGCACCTTCGGAAACCTGGCACAATACTTCACACATACTTTTTCACTGTACAGTTTAAGGCATTTTGTTTTCACCCTCTCTTAGTTTTTTGCTGTTTTATTCTCCCTGCAAATTATTGATAAAATGGACTGTTTCCTAAAGAGGTACACACATGTATGCACCTGACGCACAGTCAGACTTCCCCTGGCATTAGTTGGGCATTTATTCAGAAGTGTGTGTATTGCACCAAGGGAAAAAAAAGATATAATCTCATAAAAAATAGTAGTTAAATGAAGTCTGCAGTTCTATCATGATTCGTGAAGTCCAGCCTCTCCAGTAAATGCTCGAGCCTCTACCAGTTGTTTGCTGCAGCACAAATGCCCAAACCTTTTCCATGTTAAAGGTCAAATTAGTTTAAATATTACTGGTTGTCTGCAAGGACGAGGCACTGAGCCATTGCAAATCCTATTAGCTTGGGAACAGAGCCTCGTACAAAATTCTCTGAGGGATCCCAGATGATTGTAAAGTGCTTAGATACTATCATTGGCATATCAAAGCTAGTCACAAGGAACTGAACTTGTTTCTAGCTTGGTCAATATTGCAGTCAACTGCTTCTCGGATACCTGACAGGTGAATTAACACTTCGTTGTTATCTACCGCTACATCACTACGTGCTATAGTGATGGGCACAGTGCAAACAGATTGGTGGTCTGGAAGTGGAGGGATCTACTGGAATGACGTTTCTGGATGCTGAGGAATTCCAGTGAAGTGAGGAACGATCTTCACCTCTGCTAAAGAAAAATAGAGAAAGTGGAGAAAGACTTTGATATCTCAGGCCCCTTTTTTGATTACAGAGAAGGTGGGGTAGGGCAGGTAGGGTAGGGATAAGGTAGAGTAGAGTAGGGTGGGGTAAGGGGGAGAATGAATGTACATCTCCGTGGGCTCTGACCAGACTTTGGCGATGAATCCAGATTTTGTCATGTTTCTGTGGGTTGGCAATCTTTCCAGGAAAATGGCATGCAACAGATGAAAGGCATTCTGAAGTCATTCAGAGACGATGCCCACCAGAGCCACAGACCACTCAAGCAGCAAACAGCATGGCTTAAAGAGAGGGAACAAGAAGGTATCGCAAACAAAACAGCCTTTCCTTTCCCCAAACCACTTTTTCACTGAAACCACTGCATTTTAATGAGTTTACTAGCCCTCTAGAAATGAGGGCAGGTAATTGCAATGTTACAGGATTCAAGATCAAGTTTACCACATTTAACTCAGAAGAAAAGCCAATTATGATGGCTCAACTCACTGGACATACTGTAATATGTAATGAAAATATACTTTACAAAAAGAAAGAAAGGAGGAAAGAAAGAAAAAAAAGCATGTTTTAATAAGCAGTTCTAGAAGTCCAGGTCATCCTGGTTAATCTCATCAGAGTCTTCTTTCTTTTTAGAAGCCTGAACTTCATCAGTATGTTCAACCTCCTTTGGATCTGCACTTTCAGCATCTGCCTGGTCCTCATCTCCTAAAGGATCAATGCATGAAGATGCTTTGTCCTCTTCTTCCTCACTGTCAGGATACATCTGTGAGGGTCTGCTGCTCTCGTCGCTTTGAACCTCTCCATTGGGGTGGTTGTTCATGGGGTTGTTGTCATATTTGCATTCCTCTTCACCTTCATCTTCAGACCCCTTCTGAGATTGCTGTGAGAAGTTTCCCACAGAAGAATAACAAGAAAAGGCAGCTGCTTTGTTCAGAGTATCTAGCCTTTTGCTGGCTTTTTTGCATCTGACCTTTGATGATTTCTCAGAATTCTTGTTGCCTTTGTCTTCGTGTTTTTCATGTGCCTTATCAGGGTCATTGCTGGTAGGTTCCTCATCATTCTCATCACATTTCTCACCTCCTTCACTGTTGTTTTCCTCCTCAGCTGAACATGCCTCATATCCTGGCTCCAGATTTGCATCTTCCACTGCCTCATCTTCATCCTGCTCAGCTTCTTCACTTCCTTCTACAGCATCTCCTTCACTTTCTTCTACAGCATTTCCTTCAACAGTGTTGTCAGTTCCAGACCCATCAGCATCTCCTCTGCATTCAGGCGTCTCTTCCTCATCAGCAGCCCCAATGTCCTCATCCTCTGGCCCCTCTGCTTCTTCAGCTTCATTGTCACCTTCGTCTTCAACTTTGGATGTCTCTTCATCTTCATGCTCTTCATTTTGAGTCTCTTCTTCTTGTTCTTCCTCTTCCTCACTTACTTCCTCCTTCTCTTCTTTTGTTTCTTCCTCATCTTTTCCTCCCTCTTTTTCTTTTTTTGCTTCTTCTTCCTCCTCTTTTGGGTTTTCTTCCTCTTCTTCCACTTCCTGCTCCTCTTGTTTAGTTTCTTCCTCATCTTCTTTTGCTTCCTCATCCTCCTTTGTTACTTCTTCCTCTCCTTGCACTTCTTCCTCATCTTTTTTTCCTTCTTCCTCCTCCTTCATGTCTTCCTCTTCTGATTTTGGTTCTTCCTCTTCCTCTTTTGTTTCTTCCTCCTCCTCCTTCACTTCTTCTTCCTCCTCTTTTGTTCCTTCCTCCTCCTCCTTCTCTTCCTGCTCTTTTATTTCCTCTTCTTCCTTTGTTTCTTCTACTTCTTCCTCTTTTAATTCCTCATCCTCTTTATCTTTTATTTCTTCCTCTGCCTCGTCTTCTGTTTCCTTCTCTTCTTCTGCCTTTATAATTTCTTCTTCTGCTTTCTGTTCTTCCTCCTCTTTTGCTGCCTCTTCTTCTTCTCTTTCTTTCATTTCTTCTCCCACTTCCTCTGCTTCTTCCTTTTGTTCTTCTTTGGTTTCTTCACCTTTAACCTCATCCTCCGTCTCACAGTTTTGACTCTCTGATATTTCAGGTCCTTCTCCATCTTCAGTCAATGCTGAGCTGCCCACTTTGTTTAATTCTGTCTCCTTTTCTTCATTGCCCTCCACTTCTGTTTCACCTGGCTGGAGTTCATCCTCATCATTCTCCTCATTTGGATTGCCATTTTCTGCTGCTTCATCCACAGAATTGCTGGGAATTGTTTTGATGCCCTGGGCTGCTTCTGAGACACAGGCTTCCTCATCATTTTTCTTCAACCTCAGGATTTGCTGTAAATCAAATGCTTTCATGACTGGGGCATTGGTGGCCACCACTGGGTTTCTTGTGGGTTTGGAAGCCATTTTTTTCCTGACACAAGAGTCACATGGGCAATATTCCTCCTCTTTCATTTGTTTACTAATACTGGCCTCAAAAGCAGCACTAAGTGCTTTATCTTCTACATCAAATGAGAAGTCTGATGTGTCCTCTAGCCTACTCTGGGTTCCATTCTTGTCACTGAAGAGTGACTTTTTATGCATAGTCTGTAATCGCCGTCTCCTCTGCTCAGTTTGAAGTGTTGACTCACGCTTGAGTGGTTCATCCGGAGGTCTTGGTGTCTTCTTCCCTGTTCTGGCTTTGATCTTCCTCAGCTCCTTCTCTATGCTTTTTTGTATCCTTTTGCTCACTTCCTCCTTCAGCTCCAGTATCATTTCATCCATCTGCTGGTTGTTCTGCAGGTTCCACCTGACTTTGAATTCATTCATGGCACTGACATAGTGAGCCATGAACTCCTTCTCGATTTTCTTGAGCAGCCTCAGGACCCAGACTGGGTCTGGGTCCACTGAGTTTTTTTGTACAAGGGATGTGTCCACACTGGTGGCCATATTGACATTGGGTTTTGGGTCATTTGGAGGCTCTTTTTCAAGTTGCTCTTCCAAATCAGTTTTCAATTCTGTCCCACAATCAGCATCATTGATGTTTGTGTCATCAGTAGTGGCTAGTTGATCAGCTTCCTCTTTAAGATTTTCTTTTGGGAGTTCTTCATTTACAGCTTCAGCTTCTTCTTCTTCTCCATTTTCAGCTAATCTTCTGTTGTCTTCATTTTCATTTTCTCCCCCTTCCTCCTGACCATTTTCACAGGTACTGCATTGATCCTCCTTATTCTCTTCTGCCTCCTGAATTAGAGAGTCCTCTCTGATAGACTGTGCTTCATCTTCACCTTTTGATTTTGAGCAGGCTGTCGAAGGTCGGGATGATTGCTCTTCCTCTTTACTTTGCTTCTCAGCCTCAGTCTGTTCAGTGCCAGTCTCTACATTGTCCACTTGTCCAACTGATTTGCATTCAGCAGTTTTCTGTGCCATTAAAGGACAGTCCCTGGCACCAGCTGCACTCTCTTCTCCTGAGCCACCAGAACCACTGCCAACATCAACCCCAGAGGAGGACATAGGAGTGAAGTCATGATTTACAGATTTGGGGAATTTAAACCCAGAGGCTGTCTTTGCCTGCTTGCTTGCCTCTTGACCAGAACTTGGACTACTTTTTTCAGCTGCACTTCCAAACCACAAGGCTTGAAAAATATTCAGCAGCTCCATATACCTTGGCTTATTTGAACGTTTTGATTTATCTGATGGATCTTCTACCTCTTCATCAAGGAGCTGGAGACTGGCAAGACAAGTAATCAGAATGTTGGCAGAGTTACTCAGTTTTCTCCCCATGGTGGGGGACACTTCAGGCAAACTGTTTGATCGGTCAAATTTTGTTTCATGTTTTGAACTGAGCAAGGCCTTCATGATTTGGACAGAAGTCTGGATACAATTTGGCAGGTCTCTTCTGTTGTTATTTTGGCTGGATGTAACCGACTGGCTGCATTCTGCCTGGTCAGCTTTGGCAGCTTCAGACACAACCTCAGAGATTTGTTCCTGACTCACGCATTCTTCAGCCTCTTCATTAACAGTAGTGCCTTCTGCTGTCTCTATTCCCACTTCAACATTTGCCTCATTTTCAGCCTCCTCCACATCCTTTTTCTCAGCTTTTTCATCCTCTGAGATTTCCTTGGCATTTATACAGCATGATACCTCAGGGGTTATCTCTGTACGTTCCTCTTCTGCATCATCTTCCATTTCATATTTCATAAGTAACGTTTCTGAAGGGATTTTACTTAGCCATTCTTGCACAACTTCTTCTGGAGATGTATTTGGTAGAGTAGATGGCATCAAATCACTCCCTTCGTCCTGCATGCCTGTGCCTTCTAACTCTTCCTTCAATTTTTTGTTGCAAGAATCATCAGTCTTATTATTCTGTTGATCATTTATTTCAGTTGCAGCTGATTTAGACCCATAGGAAGTTGCTTTAGAGGAATCTACAATTTCATTCTGCTCTTTTCCTGTGGTCAACACTGACTCAGTACCTATGCTGCTAATGGAGGAATTCTTCAACATGGTAGAACGTATTTTTTTGCTGTTTGGCTTGCCTTTAGGTGGGGCAGGGCAATGTCTACTACATACTGACAAAGTCTCCGACAATGATGCTCGGCTGGAATTTGACATCTTCACACGAAGATTCCTAGTTTTTATCTGCCTTGATTTTGAAGACTGAGATATGTTTGACTGTGAACACATATCATCACTTTCCTGGGATATCTGTGTCAATGAGCATTTATCTTTTACTTCTGACTTTGAGGAGATTCTTGAAGAGACACTTGCAGGATTTCCATTCCTAATCCCAGTATCTGTTGAGAGGTCACCTTTTGAACATACGCTCTCACTCATACTTCCATGTCTTGAAGAAGGGGCCTCTGAATTCATCCTGGAATGACCCTCTCCAGCTTTTCCATTAGGGCTTGAAACGCTTGAGCAGAGGGATGATGGCTTGCTATTTTCTTCTCTATGGCTTTTCTTCTTTGAGCCTTTTGAGGATTCACTGTAGCCATTGGTGGTACTTTTCAAGCTTTTCTCCTCAGTAAACCATGCAATTGCCTCTGCTTCACTAGTAGATGAAATGTTTGAGTGAAAAGATCCTGAGTTATGAGTCATGGAGTCTCTGAGAGATTTTTTCTTGATTTCACATGAACTTTTGGAGTAATTAGATGCCCTGCTGCATGATCTCAGATCATCTGCATGTAGCGAATTCTTCTTTTTATTCGGGGTGGATTCAAGTGAAGACACAGACATTTCAGACTGTGCATCCAAATGAATATGGCTGTGTTTGCTCTTTTTGGATCCTCTGGAAGAGCAAGAGGCATTGCATAGAGCGACTTCACCGCTGTCACTTCTTTTGCTGTTCCTGTCACTAGCTCTGGAATGGGGGGTTCCTTGTGTAGAGCATCGTTCACCTTCACTGCTCTCATCTCTAATTGATTGGCTGGACTTTATTTTTGCTGACACTGAGCTGACTTCATTGATTTCATTTTCTTCTTGTTCTGCTTCAACTTCTTCAGCCTCTCTCTTAGGGCAGGACTCACTGGAGAAGGAAGAGACCACTACATTGTCATCAGAGTGGTCATCCTGTTTGCTCTTTGCTCTTTGTGTAGTAGAATTACTAGACTTGCTGTGCACACTGTTGGAGGGAGTGGAGCACCTAGTGTTATCCTCTTGTTTTGCCTGCTGAAGACTGGAGGAGGACATGCTCCTACCCACACTACTTGTTTCTTCACATGCATTCTTCTTGCTCTGTCTGGACTGCAGGGATGACCTTGACATGACACTCCCAACTCTGCTGCTTTCAACCTCTTCCACACTATCCTTTAAGCACTTCACAGAGGAAACTTCAAAACCATTTTCATCTTCATTTTGTGAAATGGTTTTGCTGGCCTCATGGTCTTCAGGGGTGTCTTGAGTATCCAGGTTGTTTTCACAGCTTGAAAGTGACATTAAGCCCAAGGATGAAGGTCTCTGACTATTGCTCGTGCTAGTCTGCGTGTATTCTTGCTGGTCTTCCCCATTGGAAGCACCTGTAGACAAATCACTTCGACACATACACTTTTTAATGGATCGATATGCCATTCTGTTCTCTATAGTCTCTGAGTAGGATGAGGACTCTTGCACAATGTGCTCAGAGAATTCCTCACTGGATGTGGTGTGGAGGCTATCCACAGAAGCCATTTTTTTGTGGACTACTCTCCTGCGGGAAGATGTGTTGGAGCATGACGACCGTGTGTGCCAGGTGCTTCGTACACTGGGCTCTTCCCTCTGGGATGTGTGCATGGGATTTTTCCAGATGTCGTAGTCCTGGTGTTTTTTGCCACAGCTATGACAATGAGCCTCATTACATTCTGATTCCTCAAGTTTTGACATGTAAGAATCAATATCACAGGAATATAATGACTCATCTGCCTCTGAGCTGGCTCCTGGGTTCATTTTCTGTATGGGGTCTACTCCACTGTCCTCCTCTACACCTGACTCTTCACAAGGCATCTGGTTCATCACATTGGACTTTTTGATCTGGGTAGACCATTGCAGAGTCTCATCATTTAGCAAGCGGAAGCGAACTTTCATCTCAACGGACAGGCTACCATCCTTGTTCACATGCACTCGTTTTTCTATGTCGTCATTGACCAAGGAATGGACCAGGTCCCCAGGTTTTGGACGCGCGCAACTGTTTGAGAAAGGTGCGCCGTTGTCTGGTGAGGCAGCGAGACCATTAGGATATGACTTTTCTGATGATAAAGAAAACCTCATTGATCTATTGCTTGATGATGACCGTGGATGGATAACACTTTTTTTGGCTTTCAATTCAAAGTTCACTGGAGTTTGAAAAAGGTAAGGAAAAGAAAGATGGAGAGAAATGTTAACTCATATAAAGATGACATGAAATATACAGATCTAACCCTCAAACTAGCGAATACTGATATTATTCCATTAAAGCTAATCCTGTCCTAGTCTATGTAATGTGAAAATTTGGCTTTGACTAAGTGATGGCCATAAATTATAAGTTTTGAATGAATAGTCTGTATTAAAATCTTCTATCCCTTAACTTGATTATTTTTCTAAATCTAAATTGAAACACAAACACTTTTTTTGTTATATGCTGTGATTACCAGGAAGAGGAAAAAAAAATATACAAAGCAATTTAGTCTCAAAGTTTCTGTGTTTTATCACATTGCAAATATTCCTTTATTTAACTGTGCAAGTTTTCATCCTTCTTATTCAGTTGGGGGAAAACACATGGAGAAGTGACCCTCTTCCTTAGTTAGAGGTCCAGCATCACGCATTTATTGTGCTTCATCCCCTTCTTTGCTCACTTGCCAGGAAACACAGGTGTGGCTGTGTTGACTAGAGCAGCAGTCAGTCCTTGCAGGGATGTGTCACTATAAATGATTATAATGCTTACTAAAACATAAAGAACAAATGGAAAAGGAATTGTAAACTGGTGATAGATACAAAGAGGAATAGTGGTAGTTAAAGAGGATGGAGTGATGGTAAGTGACAGTAAGCGAATTTTAAGAATTGTAATCCAAAGCACATCTCTATGGTCCAGTGCACTGATCTGCATAGATTTATTAAGGTCCTAGACCCTTCATTTCAAGCAGAGTATATTGCTGTCATGCTGTCTTGCAAAATATGCATCTATCTTATTTCTAATACGTGTTTGTTCAAAGATTACTTTTATGTATCTAGACAACCACATGCCTCTGTAGGCACATGGATATGCAGCTGAAAGGAGGGCATTTTAAGAAGGAAGTGTTGAACAGGGAGCACACCAGCCAAGATCAATAACACATGACATAGCTTCTATATATAGCTATCCTTATGCATTTGAACTGATATATTTACTCAGTCTCTTGACGGACAAGCTTCAGCTTATTTGCACTGCTTCCTCCAATTTTTTATGTCTCAGGCAGTCCGTGTGGGATGCCTTTGTCCTTAAGTTTCTACAACTGGCTGTCAACACACGAATGAATCTTTCCTGGCTCCTGGTATTGAAAATAGAGAGAAACAGGTGCATGTCCAGAGCACACTTCATTTCACCCTAAAATAAATCTCTAGCATAGGTGAGATGAATCGCCCTTTGGAAATGAGAAGTTTCTCTCCAGAGGTTACTGACGATGGCTGGTTTAATTACCTGTGACCTTAGACAACTCATGATGAAGTGCCTGAGAAATATCACCCTGAACAACCCATAACATACTCCTTCCTGAACCTAACCTTTCTATAAAAACATACTTTGTTCCCAAAGGGCAGCTGTAACCTGCAAGAGAAACTGAGTCTCCTGCTTACAGAAACAGGGCATCCTCTGGTCCTGGTGCAGGCAAATGCAGAAGTGCAGGCATTGTATGACAGACGGACCAGGGGATAGAGGATTCGTGGGAAATCTCAAGGATTTGAGGAGTCTCGGAGGCAGACACAGGAAAGGAGGGTGTTCTGGAAGGAAAAGGAGACAGAGAGATATGAAGGAGGAAGGGAAGTCAGCCAGACATGGGGAGCATGTAAAAGAAAGACTGGAGGGTGTAGGGAGGAAATCCTAGAAGGAAACCAGAGAAAAAGCAGGGGAGGATGGAAAGGCCTGGGAGGCAGAGAGAGGGAAGTACATTTTGCACATGAAATCTACACGTTGGGGCAGTACAATAGGCGCCTGCAAGCTCCATGTTGTGGGGCACAGGACTGGAGAGGACTGTGCAATATACCCCAGCGTTTTTCTTACTTTCATTGTTTTGGTTGACATTGTTGCTGTTGGAACGGGGACCCAGGTCGGGCAGCTTCTCCACCGAGTGTTTCCTCAAATTCTCCACCGATACAGGTTTAAATGGCTCCCGGCCAACACACACCAGCACGCTGGGGCAGTGAAGCAGAGCCTGCATGCTGTCGATCTAGAGAGAGAAGAGCAATTGGATCACCATGATCTGATAGAGCAGAGCTGGATTCTTCCGCACCCAGAGTCAACTGACATTTAGATGTCACCTAAACTAAGATAAACCTGGTTCTATAGAACTTCAGGGTCTACCGGAGCCTGTTGGCAGGCTCTGTTGGAGTGTTTTTCCATTGAAAGAGAAGCTCTGCCATGTTTTAATCAGATCTCCTCAGGTAGGGGAGGGATGGGAGAGATTGCCTAAGGGAGAAGATATTTATTACAAGGTTTTATATCTACTGGGAAAGATTTAGGCATAATCAATGTGGTAATGAGGAAGGGGGTGGAACTGGAGGCTTTTCAGTTTCTCTCACAGGGAATTATACCCCTTAATTCTTCTAATTCCTGTGAGGGACAGCAATTATTACCTGGTAAATTTGACATTCCAGATTGACCATGAGTTCTTTTCCTTCTTCTGCTCAGGAAGGGACAAGAACTGTGACTTCCCCTATTATTACCTCAAATACTGCCTCATATACTACTTCAAGTATAGCCTCAATGCTGGACTATCTGGGACACTGTCCCTCAGTGTGGGAAGTGTCTGTGGAGGATTCTTTGTTCCTCCATGAGAACCTAGGTTTACACACTGCCTCTTCACCTTCACCGCATGACCTGTGTCTGGATTACACACCAAGTCCTTCACATCAGCTGCATCTAGTAACAGGGAGCAGGGCTAGATGTGACAGAAAGTCACTTTTACCCAAATGCATGTTTACCTGGGATCTAAAGGAGCAGGAGTCAGTCTTGTGATGAGCACTGGCTGGACAAAGTCTGGACTTCTCTTCCATCTTGCTTCTGCAATCCCTTATTTGTAAGACTGAAGTTAAGCTCCCAGGTAAACCACTTGCTGGCTTCTAAAAGGCTGAGAGGGCTCACTTGCTATCTGAGAGGGCTTTAGAGTGGCCAACATCTGGCAGCTTTGTGCTGTCAAGTGTCTCCACGATCCAGCTAAGATATTCCTTCCTCCTCAGACTGCTACATCAGGAGAACATCTTGATCATATGGGGACTCGCCGACAAGACGTGACCATGCAATGAGCTACCAAGGTTAGCCAGCACTGGTGGTGGCTGAGCACTACCTTCCCTGTAAGATGCACCCTGAGCTCACTGTTGTCACTTAATCATCAGCTCTTTAACTAGCAACTGAGTATGGAAGACAACAAATCTCAGAGGAGCTGTGATGACAGCTCAGCAGTTGTCACACGTGCCTGGAATAACAGAGCATGAAGAAAAGACCTCATTCTCTAAACACTGCTATAGCAAAGGAGTGAAGAATCAGGTGCCTTTCAGAGCCCAAGCCCTTAGTTTGTGAAATGCTTCTGGGTTTTTTTGAGATTAGTTGATACCACCAGGGCTCTGAGAGGGACTAAGATTGTAGTGCTGGATCTTGTGCAAACAAGAGGAGGATGAATGGGTGAACGGTGAAAGAACAAGACAGAGACAGACTGAATCACACTCAAGATCCAGTTAAACACTTCTAGTAATTTTTCTTACAGTAAGGGATATGACATCAACTTCTTACTGGGGATACACTAAAATCCCACTGTCTTCCTATTATTTTTTATTTATTGTTTGCACTACAACAACATTTGGGATCTGATGCTCATTGAGTTTGTTGCTATAAAAACCCAAGGTAAGAGAGGCTCTGCTCTCTGAAGCTCACATTAAGCACTGCTGTGTGTAAAGCAACAAAACTGCTGAGTCTATATGGTAATTTTCATGACACAGAAACAGAAAATAACCCCCAGCTCCCAAACTGTCTATGTCTACTCCTTGTCATTTGTCAATAAATCCACTTCCGGTCCATCTATTTCTCAAGGAAACATCTTTCTAGTTCACTTATAAAAATTATAGAAAGCCTATAGTTTAATAAATGAAATATTTTGAGTAGGTTTTTGCCACCTGTATATTTCTGTTCGGTCTTTACTTTCCTATACTTTTTTCTTTTCTTTTTTGTTCTTTTAGTGAGATCTTTCACTGTGCCCTCATACAAGTAGCAAAAAGTGAGGGTAAAAAAAGAGAAAGAGGAAAAGAAAAAGAGGGAGAGAAGAAAGAAAAGTAGACATAAAATCTCTTTTGACCCTAATTTTAACAATCTGACTTTAAAACCCCACTAAGTTTAGGAACTATTCCTATTTGTAAAGGACATTTTTTCAGTGGAAGCTGTTTTTTTCCCAGGACATTTCCTCACATGGTGCTGTGTCTGTGTATAGATACTTCAATCACACTCATCACCGCTGCGTTGTGTGTGCAGAAAGTAGATGATGCCAATGACACAGCTTCAGGGATCAATGGAGCTGAGCCAGCTGAGTTATTGAATTTATACATACTGCACAAATCAAATCCTTTCATGTGGAATACATTTGTGTTACGTGATTTAAAATAAAGGGCCTGTCATGTAGTATTTCTGGCATCATCAGCTCTTCGGCAGTGTTCATACCTATAACATAGCTTTTCTTCCTAATATCTTGCAAGCTCAACCTCTTTGAATTAGTAATTCATAGAATCATAGATTGGTAAGGGTTGGAAGGGACCTTAAAGATCATCTGGTTTCAACCCCCCTGCCATCATCAGGGACAGCTTCCACCAGACCAGCTTGCTCAGAGCTCCATCCAGCCTGGCCTTGAGCACTGCCAGGGAGGGGGCCGCCACAGCTTCTCTGGGCAACCTGCAGCTGCTCTAAGGTCACCCCGGAGCCTTCTCTTCTCCAGGCTGAACAGCCCCAACTCCCTCAGCCTGTCCTCGTAGGAGAGGTGCTCCAGCCCTCTGATCACCTTTGTGGCCCTCCTCTGGACCTGCTAAATATAATTATGGATGTTCATCTAAATTTGGGAAATCAGCACTTTGTAACGCTTCTTTGTTAAAAATATTTTGGTAGTTGTAAATACAACTGAATGTTTCCGAAGGGTTTAATGAATCCTTTTTCTCACATTGATTTGGTTTAATGCAACATCCATTCTGTCAGGGCAGTACTGTGCTGTGGAGCTGGGATAACAACAGGTCATCTCAGCTTGCTCAGCACAGGGCTTTCCCACACTGCTGCATGAATCCCATCCTCTCAATAACAGGTTGCTGCCTGGGCTGTACAGAGGACATCTGTCTTCAGGGCAGTCTGTATGACATTTTTCACTAGTGCTAAATTATCTCAAAATTGTATGTCTCCTCTTAGGTGTTTAGCAACTTGCAACTCGCTCAGTGTGTCCCACGATGATGTCCATGCATTGCTTCTCAGATTCGTTTCTTTTTATGGAATACATAAAAATTATTTCTAATGTGAAAAGATCAGATCCTGAACCTGCAATCATGCTGGTATCTACTGTTGCTCCTGAATGTGCTGAGTGAAATATTGGCCCCATTTCAACCAGTGGTAGAATTTCCCCTGGCTTTTCTGGAGTCTGCATCACATCGCTTACAACTAGGAAACATGAAAATTGGGAGCTTTTTTTTGTTATCCTGCAAGAGAAGTGATCCTGCTCTTCTGCTTGGACATAGCAACCACCAGACAAAGAGTTGTTATGGATGAATACAGTGAAACTGTATTTTCCATGCACTTTCAGCCATTGATTTTTATTCTGGGGGAGGAAACAGGACATAAACCAGAAAATTTGTCAAGCGGCTTGAGAGATAAGATTGCAAGATTTGGCAATAACACCATGGCAAAAAGCAGACACAGTAGCCATTCATATTTCAGAAGCACATGAGCCCCAGAGAAAGAGGTGAAATATTAGAATGGATTAAATTATGAGAAAACAATCTGATGATGAATTGCAGGATAGGAAAGAGGTGGTAATGGTCTTGCAGAGACGACAGTGTGAATTCCAGCATATGGGACGTTCAAAGCTGAGATGTGCCTCCACAGGCATGATTCTAGTCTAACTCTCCAGAGTTATCTTACTCTGAAGTGATTTGTTCTGGAACCAGGTTTTTGTAAGAAGTGCTTTTATATGCAACTTCTGCAGAGGACCATATTGTCATACATCTCTTAGAGAAGTTGTGAAACACAAGTAACAGGCATGCTTCTGTAAATTTTGAAAACAAAGGTCAGGAAGATAATAACTTGCTTTTGCCTCATATTTTGGACATCTAAAAGTTAGGTGTGTAGGACTGAGCTAGTCAATCAAGGCTGTATAGTCTGTGTAGACGGGGCAGCTCCTGTACCCTGTGTTGGACGTGTCTTCTACTGTGAGACAAATCATGCTGTGGAGATGTCTCTTTATCCCTTGGTATCAGAGCACCTTGGAATGTTTAGGAGAGATGTAGACATCCAAACTAAAGCAGATTAACTCCAGCCAACATAACCACTCAGTAGTTATCAAGAAGCATCATCTGAGCTGGATATTGAATATCAGACTCCAGAGTCCCAGGCCTGTGCTCCTTCTTGAAGGCCATATTATTTCAGTGAGTTGCTGTTGTTAATTGTTATTTTAGGAATGCAGTCATAATTAACTTCAGCTGTATAATATCAAATGTGGCACAACCCCAACATAAGTAAAATCAGTAATAGAACACGCTGGGACAAACGTTATAGGTCTGTCCTGAAGCAGAGAGACTGCAGTAAATATAAAATGAATTTAAAGAGTCCTTTAAATTTCTTGCAGTCAGTGAAAACCCATGACTTTGGAGACTGTTGCTGTCTGACCTTTACCGTATTGGATTATTTATTTATTTATACAGAAAATTGCATTTAAACATGAGACAAAAAATTTCTTCACTGTGAGGGTGACCAAATACTGGAACAGGTTGCTCTGATATGTTGTGGAGTCTCCATCCTTGGAGATATTAAAAATGCAGCTGGACATCTGAGCAACCTGAACCTAGCTGGACACCTGAAAAACCTGCTGTAGTTGACTCTGCTTTCAAAAGGGGGGTTAGATGAGATGATCTCCAGAGGTCTCTTCCAAACTCAATGATAATGTGATTCTGGGATTTATTGTAGAAGAGGAGGTTGTTGTTTTCACATGGA